CCTAGAGATACCCTAAATGTCAGTACATATCTGTGTCAAATAGAGACAGTAAATATCTGTGTATACCATATATTCTAGGGTACATTAACTTGGAGTATGCTAGTACTCCGTAGATGTGTGCCGCCGTACAAGAAGGGAAAGAATGGACAGTCTTCCTACAACGTAACAAGAGGGGGCCCATTATTAGTCCACCCTCGTGTCTTTGACAATTCTACACATCCATTATGTATCATTATTTACTCATCCGTTCCCCTCAACTTTTTAATGGATCATGCTACACTTACACCAAAATTTGTACCTCGAACATACATTAAAGGTATATACCAACATTTTGATGGTTCACATCGACATAAAATATTAATGCGTTAAAAATTTTTTACACTGACACAAAGTGTTAGTGCGTTAACAAAAAATTAACATTATATCAACACATTTGTGTTGGCGCACACTTGCGACTTACAAATGAGGTACAAATCATTAGGGGTCTTGTACCTAGACAACCTAGAGAGTACTAGTTTTCATTTCTTCATAGCGATTTGTTTAATAGTCTTTCGTTTTATGTATTCTTTTTTAGGTGACATGTAAATATTATTAAAACTTAAGTACAAACAATAATCGATTTATGTATTTTTTGTATAAGTTGTTTGTAGACCGGTCTAGGGTTGTTTACTAGATTCGAGAAAGTAAAAGGTAAAAAATACAAAGCAACCGGGAGGACTGTAGGTGGAAGCACTTGTAACCCAATTAATATTCGAAGATAGTAGAGTGCATAGGGGCTTTTACACGGGAGTTATAGTAAGAAGAAATCCCCCCTTTCTCTGAGGGTTACACATGTATTTATAGTGAGTTAGATGAGATAAGGCGCCGCACATTCACGTCAGGGCACGTTCCTGGGTGGTGCGAGGTGGTTGCCTCTGTCTTCTAGTGACATTGTCATCTAGTTAGGAAGGTGAATCTTTTGTTACTTAGTACATTAGATTGATTGTTCGAATATCTCCAATGGTCTTCCGTTGAATTTGACCGCTTTAGTCCAATTCCCTTTGGATTCTTCCTTGCCAACACTCTCCAACCTTAGAAACCATACCGGGTGATTTCCGAGGGATGGGTTTATTGAAACTGGGGACGAATGAGGGAATAAAGTAGTTTGCCAGGTAGACTTTCCAAAGTGTACCGGTCAAACCCTTGGTCAACCAATCACCTTTTTACTATTGTTTTAGGCCCCTCATTCCAAAAAATTAGCCTTGACAGATTGGATATTTGAGCGTCTTCTTTGACCGGTTCTGGGTGGAATACACCCATCACTTTATAATTAATTCGTATAATTAACCCTATACTCCATCTTCCATTAATATATGGATGTGCCATTTTTACATAAAGTTGTCTTCACACTATGCTTGGTTTGAGGAATTTGAAAGAGAAAAGAAAAAAAATGAAGTGTGATGGGTATATCCTTATACCCGACCCGGGTAACCGAAAGGGACAGGTCAAATATGACCTGTCACTTTTATCAATCACCAAATGAGGTTAACTCTTCGATTGGGACGGGTCAACTTTTGACCGGTCACTTCCACTAAAAAAGTGACCGGTCACATTTTGAGCGTTAGCCAATTCGTCACTTCATGTTGTGAAGGATAGTCCAGAGGACCAAAGAGACGGGTCGAACTCAAGAAATGACCGGACAACCTTGGAGGAAAGATGACCGGTAAGGTTGCGTCTCTTGGGAATGGCAATCAACGTCAAAGGCCAGGGGACCACCCCGCCGTTCGACCTTCACGAGGCAAATAGTGAAAGGAACATTTGTCACTTTGCAAGGCTGATTGGATTGAGAATATCCATTTATAGTCTTTGATTGAACAGTACATGTCTTGGCTTGTAGTTGCTAAATTCATTGATTGAATAGTAGATTGATTATGTACAGTGACCTTCCCACGGGCTTCCTATTTTGTCCATGGATGAACAGGGGAAGGTCACAAATCCTCCTCTATAAATATGATGATATTGGATAGAAGAAGGGATCCAATTTTTCTCTCACTAAAGTTCACTCTTGAGATAGAGTAAGAAATATAATTCGGACTGAGGAGATTTACCCGGTCTAGGTCATACTTTGTGTTCTTGTTGTGTGTTTTATTTTACGGGTCGAGTGTGTCCAGGTCAAACCCGGTTAACCCACCCCGCTATATTTACACCATCAAAGTGGAAAATAGTTGTTTGGTCAGAGAAGAAAAGTGGATAGGAAAAGCAAATGAGAATGCAAAATATACAAAGAGGAGAGAAAACCAAATTCAAATCATTTTGGTGAGGAAAATTGAGAGAAAATCATTTTCTTTTCTTTTCCTTCCAAATTCCTTGAACCAAACATAGTGTTAATGTTGTTTTAAAGGGTGTATTTCAATAAAATCTCTGTGTTAAAATATACCCCTCCGTTCTATAGAACTCTTCTCCTTTTGTTTTTTCTCAATTCCCTAAAACGCTTCCACTTTTTATTAAAAAACCACTTTTACTCATACTTTCTCATACTCCACTTATCACAACATACATTTTCACTAATAATCAAACTATCACATCTTACTTTTACTCATCACAACAGGGGTAAAGTTGAAAAGTCAACCAAAATTATACTTTTCTTATTTTGGCCGACAATCACATGTTTGAGTTAGTCCCTTGATATCGTATCAAGCCTTGTTGATTATCAAGTCACGAGTTCAAATTTCACAGTTAGAAAAATTAAAATTTGATGCGGAAGGCTAATAGCGGTCACACCATTTAGATTTAGGGGCTGTTTGTTTCAGCCTCTTAATGGTTCAGATGTCTGAATGGTTCAGCACTTAATGGTTCAGACTGTTTGTTTAAGCCTCTTAATAGTTCAGATGTTTGAATGGTTAAAAATTTGACTCTGAATGATTAAGTATTATACAGAGTCTGAATGATTAAGACCTCTTATCTGAATTGATCAGGCATTTGCCTCTAAATAGTTAAGCAATATACTAGCTCTTAATGGTTCAGACCTCTTACTGGTTCAGCACTTAATGGTTTAGACCTTTTACTGGTTCAACACTTACCTATTCAGAAGTTGCCAAATAGCCCCTAGCAATTTTGAAAATACATTTAGTCTCACCCAAACAACTACGGAGTACGAACTTGAAATTGGCCAATAGGCAAAATCATGATTTGACAGTGTTAGAAAAATTGCTCCAAAAAAAAATTGAAAGTTTATTTTATTTTTTTGTCCAATTCGAAAAGTGTTGTTGTTGGACTTTAATAAAACTACTTGCTAGACCCGAACCCACTCTCCCACCCAAACAACTGCTTGTTGCTGTTCGACGGTTCCCGACATGACATTGTCCGACAATATCATTATTGTAATGGGATAACCTAGAGAGCTCCGTTGTCCCATTTGTAAAATTGACGGTTTTTACCCTCTAACCCTCCCGATAAACCCTCTACCCACCCTGACCCGAACACACTCCTCCACCCCCTTCAATTGCACCATACACGTTAATTTTGATTTTGGAGTCAAATTTTGACTCTAAAAAATATAAACCATATGCCCGAAATAAAACTTGCACATTAAAATATTCAAAAAAATATTAGTCCGTACTATTAGACTATTACATTGTGATAATTTATACTAGAATTTTTTTGTGTGTTTTTGGTATTATATGTTGATATTATTAATATTGTAAATTTTATTTTAGGATATAAACATGAAACACGTACTTTGAAACTTTTTTATGTTTTATTTAGTTTTTTTTGTCTTCTAACCTTTTTAAAATACATGGTATTACATTAGGTGTTTTAGTGTATAAATAATGTAAAATAATTCGAATAATACAAATTGGTAAATTTTTTATTTCATTTCAATAATGAACTTTCTATATCTATGTTTCTCACCTTGGATCATGTTGGGTTTCATTGCATTGAGTTGGTTTATATTTATGGCATTCTGTTTTGAAAGAATTTAAATGTACTTTATTAGGCATTTAATTTATGTTAGAACTTAATTAGGAGAGATATAAATAGTTTATACCCCGTATTAAAAAAAGTTAGGGGAATGAAATATGAGTTTTTTTGTAACATTTATCCTCAATTTTTTTAATAATTACGCAAATTCTCCTAAATTTCAAAAATTGCACTAGTGATTCCTTAACATTCAAGAATGTTGCTTTAATGGTGTCTCTGCGTAGATTCGGAAGTGCGTTAATCAAGCGCTTATCAATCCATGAAGATTCTGTGGATCGATGAAGCAATTGATCGATTGGTAAAGAGCTTGATAATTGACAGATGTTCTATCTATTTCTTTAAGAGTTAAAAATATAAAAGACAATGTTTGAGAAAAACATATTACAGAACTCACGTGTGTTGTATCGCTTAAGATGAACCTATAATTGCATAGTATGGACGTGAAAATGAAATCCGTGCAATTTTTTGGGAAGTTTTGGAATAAAATGTTGCAAAAATTCAATGAAATATATAAACACTAGTACAACGTAACATAAAATGTTGCTTTTTACTCTTTTCCGTCCCGATTTGATAGATACTAGAATTTATAAAATGAAAACAATATTCATTTTTATAAAAAAAATTAAACGCAAACATTATATATATAAACCACACAAAAAAAGTTCTTTAAAATAAAAATAAACAAAAAAACCTCACAATAAATGAAGTTGTGGAAGATATATATATATATATATATATATATATATATATATATATATATATATATATATATATATACACACACACATGTGTGTGTGTATATTGCCCGCCAGAAATTGAAAGGACACAGAAATTTCCTGCAAGTATATACAAGTCACTATATTAATTTAATTAGTTGAAAACCTTGACTCAAAAATAATATAGAAATATCAATAATATATACTCCGTATATATATATATAGAATTTCTTGGTCCCATTAATATATATTTTCCTCACTTTCTCACTCTCCATCTCATCTCTCTATATATAATACCCCAAACCACTAGAACCTGTAATCAAAATCATTCCTTGAGAAAGCAAAAAAAAAAGAAGAGGAAATAATTAAAGAATGAGACCACCCACACAAGCCCTATCTTTTTTCATATTCTGTATAATCTTTACATATATTTGCAAGAAGAGTATTAAAATGCTCCCAAGTTCATCTTTCATCAACTATGTCATCTTCATAGCTACACAGCTCAAATGGGCTTGGGATTACCTCCTTCTCCAGTCCTTCTGCCAAGCGGGACGACAACCGTCGTGTGTCTTCGAATTGTCGGCCCCGGGCCCCGGCGTGAGGCGGTTCGAGGGAGGGCCCGGGGTCGAATGCGCGGTGTGCCTGTGCCCGGTGGAGCGCGGGGAGGAGGTTAGGGAGTTGAGGTGCGAGCATGTGTTCCACAGGGCCTGTTTGGACCGGTGGCTGGGCACGGGGCGCATGACGTGCCCGTTGTGCCGCAACCACGTGAAGCCGCCGCATGCGGCGGCTTTGTCTGGGCTCCACCACGAAGTCATCGTGCTCGACGTCTTCGGTGGTCGCAGAAGCCACCGAGACCGGAGCACGTGGTGGCTCCGGTAGCGGTTGACCGCAAGATATATAGTGACTTCATGGTGGTGTCAAAAGTAGAACTTTAATTTTCAAAGAATAAGTCACTCCTTGAAGGCGGCGGTCCGATGAACTTACGTTGTAAACCTAACATTTTCCGACAACATTTTTATAATGATGATGACGATATCTTTCTTCTTGTTATACGAAGCATTAATTACTTCGATGGATTTAATTTACTTTAGATTGATGGATCAAAGATGTTTAATTATTTTCATTATTGTGTGAATTTAATACTTCGCATAATCGAATGTATTTTAATATGTAATTTTGATACATTATACGACCATAAATTATTGTATAAAGCGCTGCAGGGTACTTAATTATTTACGGTTAAAGCATGTAAAAGTTGTCTAAAAACTTAAAATGTAAGAAAATAAAAAAGTTTAGACCGTCAAAAAATATGGATTCAGACGGATACGGCTACTTGGCCCTCTCTTGGGTCGACCCCGATTGATAAACGTATAATGTTGATTAGTGTTAGAATATAAGAAACATTTCCTGGGCCACAACGACAAGCTTGAGCTTTTGGTTGAGTTGGTCGTTCCTTGACATGGTATCAGAGCCTCGTTGACTAAGAGGTCATGGGTTCGAAACTCAGCGCCACCCAGTTTTTAAAAAATTAAGATTTCACGTGCGAAGCTCGAAAAGAAAGACTACACTTGCACGTGAGGGGGCGTATTAGAATATAAGAAACATTTCCTGGGCCACAACCACAAGCTTAGCTTTTGGTTGAGTTGATTCCTTGACGGAATTTTAACAATTAGTATAAGTACAACTCAAATTGTGACATCAACGATTTAAAAACGTATACAGAAAATATTGAAAGAATATGAATTGAATGCATAATTATTCTACTAAAAGAAGATGATAATAAATAAAGTTTTGAGACCAACAAAAAAACATGTAAAAATACAAGGGAGAGAAGGCATAAACTACTCTCTATAGAGTGCTTCTGCAATTAAAATGAGAGGAAAAATAAAAAAAAGTTTTAGTATATCCTAGAATACCACCTATTTAGTTCCAAAATATAAATAATCCGATCCTGTTTAAATTACTTTAGTCGATCATTTGATATATATATATATATATATATATATATATATATATATATATATATATATATATATATGGTCATTTATCACTCTTTGTTTTATGAAACTTTAATTTGAATGTAACTTTTAATTAACTGTATAAATTTATTTGTAAATTTTACATACTCCCTATGTCCCTCAAATATCTTTCTGTTACGCATTACGAAGCTTAACCGATTTTTATTTTTAGTTTATCTTTTTATTATACGTGTAAAATTTTAAAATAAAATTTATATATTAAAAAATTACATGAAAAATTTCTATAAAACAAGAAGTGACAAGACTATCTTATTTTATGAAATATTAATAAAAATAAGCAAACAAAATGATTTATGTTTGATCCTATAAATAGTGACTGAGAAGATGTATGGGTGTCGGAGAATCTATATGACATTATTGACATGTCTATAATAGTCCTTCCGTCTTAAAAAAGCCACTACTCAATTTGATTTTCATAGAATTCAAGAAAAATATAAGAAAATAAATTGTTACTCCGTTTAATTTGTTTCGGTAAAAGAAAATTTAAATTTCAATGAGTCACATATTCATAACAAAAAATTATTAAGTTAAAAATATTTTTTGCAAAAAAAGAAAAAGATAGTGGAATTTTTTTTAGTTCTAAAATGAGTGTCACACTATTGCTCAGTGTCTCATTCATATTTCTTGGCCAGTTTTATTTTATTATTCTTCCTTCTTCTTTGTAGGCGGCTACTGATAGTACGTTTTCTTGACCACTAAGACCAGCGCCAACCAAATAGGATTTTTACATTGGATGAGTTGATTTATACACCTGATGGGCTATTGGGCCCACATGGTCCAAGCCCGGCCCAATATCCACGAGACGCTAGAGGAACCCCGGCGAAGAGCAAGGACGGCTCCCGAGCGGCCCAGTGCGTGAGGATAAGTTGATGGGCTTCCGCCCCGGCCCGATCTCCATTGGCGTTCTCTCAAGCTCTATTCTTTGTTTTTCTAGTTCATAATTTTAACTAGCCTTTCGCGCCAGATTCTTCAGTGGAATTTATTCACACCAACACCATAGTTTGATATCATGTATTTCATAAATATTTAGAAAAAGTTTTGTGTGACCCAAAGGATAATTGTGTACGTGCATATATTTAAAAAATACATGATTTCAAATTTGATGTGACTCTTAGATAGATCTTTTATTTTTCATCTAGTATTGGCACACACTAGCACAATTACAAAAGAGGTCCCAGTGTCTGGGGGGGTAGGTAGCTCAACTGGTCGAGAGGATATTGTCACAACAGATTTACTCCGGTTCGAATCCTGACAATGACATAACCATGCTAAGCACAAGAGAGACCAAATTGAGGTTATAACTCATGCAATTTAATTCTTCACAGTATTACAATATGGGGATTGCAATATGACTATTTTAACCCAATGTTATGCAGTATAATGGAAAACCAATCGGAGCAAAATATACTCCAATTGAAGTATATGTTCAATATTATTTTTGTCAAAATAGGAATTAAACAATTACACTAAAAATAAAATGTTAAGAGAGTTAGAGCATCTCCAATGTTATTCCATTTTTCAAGTTTGCACTAGCTCCTCTTTCAATTTCCAAACCCAAAATGTGTTTTTCCTCCCTCCTCTTCCCGCGCAAATCTGCATTTTGCCTGTAGCATACTCCATTTATTTTTTCTTCTTTTTTAATTTTAGTTTTTTTTGTAATTGACATGTGTGTATATATATTTTGTGGTTTAATTTACAGATTGTTTTTGTAGTTCACCTCATTTATATTTTTTTTTAATTTTTGAAGCATAAAATGTATTAGGAAAAAATGGAATATAGTGTGAAAATATTCTTTTGAGCTTAAGTTAGTGTAATGAGCTAGAGATAAATTATAAATTGATACTCCGTATAACATTTACTGCAGTTTGGGTTTGAGTTTGCGAGGCTGATGATTGAGATGGCCTTATGCTCTATAATATTCTGTAAGTATAAGAGTAATGCTAGGGGTACACCAAAAGTGCATCCTATTTGTGCACCACTAGGTTCCGCACTACACATTTCTTATTTACTTCTCTCTCTCCATATCTACATTAAGAGGCATGCGGGGAAGAGCCTATTGGTGATTTAAATATAAGACTTTTCACAATGAATTGGGAACAATTTTAACATTTATACTTCCATTATTGTGTGTGATTCTATAACTACTCATTTCGTTTCAAGTTAAGTTATTTATTAACTATTCACGAGATCAAACTAAAATCACTTTCTTTCTCTATTTCCATGTCTCATTTTTTAAAATAAAACCACCATGTCACCTGTTGCTTCGTTCAACTTTTTATGTAGCTTTTTACTATGTACGGAGTAAATTTTATTGTTTTTGATCTCGCTTCGATTCTCCAATAAATTACATAAAAAATAACTTTAGTCAAAGATCTTAAACCAAAACAAGCCTATTACTCCCTCTGTCCACCATAGATCTTCCCAGTTACAATTCACAAAGTCAAACTTCACTCACTTTGTTTGCTCATTTTTACTAGTCATTTCGTAAAATAATATAGTCTTGTCACCTCTAGTTTTGTAAAACTTTTCATGTAGTTTATTACTATTTAAATTTTATTTTAAAATTTTATTCCTATAATCAATTAAATTGAATTAAAAATAAAGTCGGTCAAGCCTCGTAACGCGTAATGGGAAGATCTTAAGTGGACGGAGGGAGTATAATATTTGAATATACAATTTTTTGAGGAAATTGAATAACACAATTAAATTTGGGAGACATGTGCATTGTGCATACAAACCGGTCCTGTGATTAAACTAAGAAATAAGTGAGGCGTCTTTGAACCGTCTCATGAGAAGTCAAGTTTTGGACTATGGAACCAATTCAAGTCTGGTGTCAGTAAAAGTTGCCATTCAAGACTTTAAATTCCTCTGTGGCAGTGCATAATCACTATTTATATAATCAAATTTCATTTAGGCCCCGTTTGGTACACGGAATTCAAACTATGGAATTGGAATTAAGGACTTCAATTCCAATTCTGGTGTTTGGTAACACAAAAATTATGTGGATTTGGAATTGACAATGCAAAAAATGAATTGAAATTAGCAGAATTCAATTCTATAGAATTGAATCCCATGGAATTTCAATTCCAATTCCATCAATTCCGTATACCAAACGGACCCTCACTTTCTTTCTTTATTTTAGTTAGCAATTTCATAAAATAAAATACTATCATCACTACTAGTTTTGTAGGTCTTTTGATGTGGTATTTTAATATATAATTTTTATTTTTTAACTTTATACTATTTTTCATATAAAATGATTTAAAAATAATTTTAGTCAAACATTATAAATCAAAATAGGTATTATAAATTGGGACGAAGGGAGTAAATGTAAAGAAATTGACAGGTCCAGACTCCAGACTCCTTTTTTCTCCTCAATCACTATGTGTAATGGAGTAAAATCTTCAAGATGTGACAACATTTTGCATGGACTTTTACACACCTCAATCAAATGACAATGATAATAATTACCAACAAACCCACTGAAATCCCACAAAAAATAGAATCAAATGACAACGTTAAAAAAAAAAAGAAACACGATAAACCGACACTTTGAAAGGAATATGTTTCTCTTGTTGGGTTTGTGAATATATTACTTGAGAACCATCAAAATGGCTTCCTGTTGAACTTTTGTTAAGCTCTGTAACGATGAACAAAGGAAAGCAACATTACTCAGCAACGATTTGTTTCTTTATTTTTAGTTTTCGGTTGAAAGGATAAAAGAATGTCGAAGGCACGCACCTTTAATATGTGGGGAAAATGTGCCCCACTGCTGCTTGAAAAACTCCGAAGAAATTCAACGAGATAATTCACCAGATTTATCTTCAAATATGAAATCAGAAGGGAAGGGGTTAGAATATAAGATTGGAGAAGAATGACCGGCTCAAATTTCCCTTAGTCGAAAGGTATACCTCATTGAGGGGGT